CCAAGGACATTCTACTTATGTACATGGTAAGAATTCACATGAACAACCAACAGGGTCTGAAAATGTCCACGGAAATTTCCAAGGACATTCTACTTGTGTACATGGTAAGAATTCACATGAACAACCAACAGGGTCTGAAAATGTTCACGGAAATTTCCAATTTGCAATTTCCATCCAAATTTTATTTTTTGACTAGTGTTTATGCTACAAACACTACCGATGATTTCTTTGACCACATTATTATTCCAATCCTGAAAAGAAAAAAAAAACAATTTATGAAAATTTTGTTCAGTGAGCCTGACTTGTGTAATATATAGGATAACCACAATCATCTTTTCATCCTGCATAAATATGAAATTTGAATTTGGGTGTCGTAAACTAAATATTTAACTAATTTAGATAAAGTTGTATAACTATTCAAAATTCACTCTATTGGATTTTATACTATTTTTGTTGGCATATAGGTTGTTCAGTGGAGTTGGAATATTGAGAGTGAAATTTAAGACCTAAATTAACTGGAAAAAGCAGATGACCTATGAGGTCATCTTACTTGAATGCGTAATTTATCATTTAGAATAGCCAACATAAATTTTGTTTTTAGAAGACATGGCAATCGTAACGCTGCACTATAACTTTTTTTTTCTTTGTTAACTTACGGAGGTTTTTTGTAATCAAGTGTGATACCATTTCGTCTGAAAACTGTGCTTCTCCACTGACTTCTTCAACACAAGTAGTTTGTTGGTCAGTCTCAACCGCAGCAGTGGCAGGACGGCTTCTCTTGGGTTGAGTCGGTGTTGAAGGGACAGATTCTCTTTGTGGTGTTGAAGGGACAGATTCTCTTTGTGGTGTTGAAGGGACAGATTCTCTTCGTTTAGAACTAGTAGAATTTTTCTCATTTGGGGCTCCCTCTATTTGCAATCCATATTATTCCCCCGCACGCCGTAAAAACTTGCTGATGTTGGAAATATCGAGAGTCTTACCGAGATCATCTGAAGGTGTGAAATACTTCAGTTCGAACTTCATTTGCTTGCCAGTTGCGTATTTTATCTGAAAGACAAAGGTAATGCTGTATAAGCGCATGCATATGTGCCAAAAGAAACTTATAATCGATAATAATCAATGCACGAGCCTAGGTGTCTGAAACACATCTCTTACCAAAAGTTTGTCATCGCTATCTCCACTTTCTGTAATACTGACGATGAAACCTGGGTCTGTTGATTTGGACGTAAGAATCACAGCCTTGTTGTGATGATACACAGTGTAAACCGAAGACTCTTTCTTGAGGAATTTCTATTTTCTCCCCTGAGCTTTTACTCGTTTTTTAGAGGTAGGCATCAGAAAAGTTTATAGATCTTTTAAAAGTTTGCTTGATATCTAGTAGACTTCTTCGGGTCGAAGCTTTCAAAAAATGATAATAGTTGGAACTGTCAGAGAGCTTGTCAACTGAATCACGTCAGTGTTCTTTTCGATGGTACACCTATTCTGGACTGTGTTATCGCCTACTTTACTGTTAAGCTATATCTCCAAAATGATCAAATAAACTTCCGGCTTAAAACCTTGACCGGACTTTGGACTTGACTTTTTGCATTCTATTCCTAGACTCTAACTAACCACCTCTCTTTAAGATAATGGTTACTTCTTAAATATATCGGAGAGGTGTTAGTTTAAAAGTCTAGGTCAGAAAAAAGACCAAAGAAAATAATATTCAGGCTCTAGGATCTCCAGGTGCCTTTTGTCCAGCTTACAAACCGCACGCTTGTCAACGTCAATCAACGTTTCCGATTACGTCAGTAATCAAATGTTTTCTTAGTCAAACTTGCAAGAGCGATGCCCAGAGTATGGACAGTTATTTGCATGCCTTACATGATGTTCAAAACTTTTCAGCTCAGTTAATATGGATGGTTATTCGGAATCAACAGACGAACCACTGACTCTCTCATGCTCCGTCGATCAACCACTGACTCTATCGATAGATGAACCACTGACTCTATCGATCGGCTCAAGTTTGAAGAAGTTGATGTCAACCATGAACAAGGAACTCAAGAAAGGATCGGCACCCCCGTGGCCACTAGTAGTACCAATTTCAAAAAGAAACGGACGTTAGAAGAAACTGACGATGAATCGTTATCTTCCATCGTCATCTCTACTGTTCCCTCAGCACCTCACTAACGCCTAGAACTACCACATGGCACAAGAGATTCTGATGTATCTGAAGAAAGCACAGGAACCACGAAGAGCAGGGAAGGTAATAAACAATTATGTTTACCATAAAGAGGAAGAACATTTTTCTTGCAAAATTGCGGTAAAGGTGATACCGAGAAAGCCATTATAGAGGCTGGAGGAGAAGTGGCTATTTTCTATGACATTCATACTGTAACCGAYGTAGTTGTTGAGAGCTTAAGAACTTGAAACAAAGGAGAAAGAAACCTTATCGACTCTGCACTAAAAAATTGCTTACAAATTTTGTCAATTTTCAACTTCAAAAAGCTTTTGAAGATTCAAGACCAGAACACAACAAAACAAAGGAACAAAACTTTATCGAAGACGATCCGCGTTCGCAAACTGTCGCCCCCATTTATTTAAAGTCGAAGGCAAAAGTAGAAAGTACAGACCTTTTTAGTGAAAGAATTCAAACGTTGGCCATGTTTGCGAACAATCGAGAGACAGAACCCAGCTACTAGGGCTGGTTATAACAGGAACAAGCACAAAAATTTTTTTTGCGAGCATTGTCAAGAATCTAACATTGAAAATTTACAGCTCCATTTAAGTACCAAAAAACACCAAGAAATTATCAAACAACCAGGATACTGGGATAGATGGCGGTAAATACACAAGTGGCAGCTCAGCGCACGTGATGCATGTTGATTTACCGTCGTTTCTGATGAAGCGCGACTCCCAAGACTTCAACATTGTAGTTTGCACTGTGCATTAGATGGACGTCAATCATTCTCTTCTATCGACTCAAATATCTCTCAAATAAATTATTTTCCACCCCATTGTTTCTAAAGAAACTATGTTTCTCAGTGCTTTTTGCTACCTATATCATTCATTTTTTCTGGAAAATGTCTTTTATGATTGCACAGTGCAAACTACAATGTTGAAGTCTTGGGAGTCGCGCTTCATCGGAAACGACGGTAAGGGACGGACTATTAGATTTTTGAGGGGGGAGGAAGATGTTAGAACTCTAAAATGAAATGGTAGAATGTCCTTGGAAATTTCTGTGGACATTTTCAGACCCTGTTGGTTATCGATGTGAATTCTTACCATATACATAGGTAGAATGTTCTTGGAAATTTCCGTGAACATTTTCAGACACTGTTGGTTGTTTATGTGAATTCTTACCATATACATAAGTAGAATGTCCTTGGAAATTTCCGTGGACATTTTCAGACCCTGTTGGTTATCGATGTGAATTCTTACCATATACATAGGTAGAATGTTCTTGGAAATTTCCGTGGACATTTTCAGACCCTGTTGGTTGTTTATGTGAATTCTTACCATGTACATAAGTAGAATGTTCTTGGAAATTTCCGTGGACATTTTCAGACCCTGTTGGTTGTTCATGTGAATTCTTACCATATACATAAGTAGAATGTCCTTGGAAATTTCCGTGGACATTTTCAGACACTGTTGGTTGTTCATGTAAATTCTTACCATGTACATAAGTAGAATGTCCTTGGAAACTTCCGTTGACATTATCAGATCCTTTCCGTCAGTCCAGTAAGTTTTAACGATGTCCGTAGGCAAAATGTCCTCGGAAATTTCTGTGGACATTTTAAGACCAATTCAGGAGGCAAGTACCATTTTTTTTCAACGTAGTGAATTACAGATAGAGTCTTTAAATTTATTACCACGGATGTTTGGTATAATAAAGCAATCAACATGAAAAATGTGATATTTTACAGTTTGCGGTTAAAAGAGCATTGAGTAAAAATGAAATGAACCTAAGTAGTTTCTCACCAACTGTGGTAGGGATTGTGTGCGGTTGAGGACATTCTTACCACGACACACTTGTTTGGTGAAAAATTCAAGACAAGAAGAAAATCTTTACAATGTCATTGGTAAGAGTAGGTCTTTTTGGGTGAAATTTTACCAAAAAAGCTACTTCAGAATATTGGAACTTAAAAAATTACATGTTGTAAGCTTTCGTTGCTTTTTAATTAACGTGTTTTGGGGAGCCAGGGAAACTCTGACTGACGTAAACGGTGTGACTAAAACGCGATGAAGAAAATAATTGAATAAGATTAATGAAAACCAATAAAGAAAATATTAAAGGAAAAATTGAGAGCAAAAATGCCTTTTAAGAAAAGAAATCGCTTTGTTCGTGTGTTTTCCGGCCTTATCAAGGTGGCCTCATAAGAAGGCGCCACTAGTTTTAATTGAAAATTAATTGGACCTCCTAGAGTAAGAGTGCAGGGGATGATACGGATGCCTCTTTATACCTCTCGTTTGTCTACTCTGACTAGTTTGTGTCCCAGTAGACCTAATTTGTTGTAGTACAATATTTTTGGTCCATTTATGTTTCATTTTGTCATGATTTCTGCAATGTCCATTAGGAAACACAGGTTTCTTATTATCTGGTGAGTGTTTTCCTTGTTTTCCTCGTTAAACAAGAAGGTTTTTTTTTAATAAGGTGTCCATTATTTGTTTATGGTGCATGTATTTTTATATAATTCTTTTAGCAATGGACCCTTTCCGAAAATATCTTGGAATGGTTGCGAGGCTAACATGTAAATACAAAAGAAATTCCATTGAGGAAAAAGCTAGTGTTACCGATTTCTTTCAACTTATCGTGTTAGCTTTGCATCAGTCAAGATAATTTCGAGAGAGGCCAATTCCTAGACTTCTTTACGAGAGAGTTTCCTGGATATTTCATACTTATTTTCCTGGACAATTTCAGAATGTAGCAGTTATAGAAACCTGAGCAGTCCTGACCGCGCACAAAGGGCTGTGACATCAGTGGATGCAGAAATCTGCGACCGCAATCACGCTTTCTCTTCTGGCTGGTACCGATTCACCGGGGATGCTGGTAATAAAATGGCAACATCTTGCGTTCCTATCTTGCGCTGTATGGCCGCTTCTACTGGATGGTTAAACGGCTTGCATCCTACTAGCTCTACCATTGTTAAGAATGAAGTCTGCTTCAACTGGAAACAAGATTGTTGCAGTATTAAAGTCAACGTTCGGGTTAAATTGTGCCGTGGATTTTATATCTACGAGTTACCTGCCGTGCCTCAGTGTTATTTGAGATACTGTGGGAATGCTCTAGGTATGTCTGTGTTAAATGTGAACATCTTTTTTTTGGGAAGGTGTAGGAGAGGGAGCAAACTCTTGGGGGAAAATGGACTGGAGAGCAAAGGAGAAAAGGGAGAGCCTCTTCCCATTTTGCAACCTCCCCCGAGATGCGTTTCACAGGCTACGATTGTGCCTGCCTGCTGACTAATTTTGAAATAATAAGAGTAAATGTATAATGCATTTTTTTCGTGAATTTTTTAAAGTTTACAAAGTCCTTACAAACGTAACGTAAAAACAATTTTTTCCTTATCTTTCCACAGGTCCAATGGAAAAACCTTCACGTAAGTTTCAGATTCAAAGTCGTAAACATACATCAAATATCTTTCCATGAAAATTTGTATTGAGCGCTCAAACACACAAAGAACTGAAGAGCCTGACAGACAGACAGACAGACAGACAGACAGACAGACAGACAGGTAGGAAGGAAGGCTGACAGACAGCGCAAAACAATGTAAATCTTGCAATGTTCCTGTCCAACATGGCTGCCACGCAAGCCCTCCACTTTGTTATTCATTGGTTTATAAATGTTATTTCAGAATGTGGTGGTAATCTTACCAGCCTGACAGGCCAGATAACCAGCCCAGGATATCCCAACTACATGGAGCCAATCACCTGTCAGTGGACCATCAAGTCACCATTTGATGGTTACATACTGCTGTACTTTGAAAACATTACACTTGGACATGGAGGGTGTTTGTAAGTATGTTTGTTTTTTCATTGACTTAGGAAAACGGAATATATATGTTGAAAATTAAGAGGCAGGATAGGATGAAGTAAAGAGGGGAGGGAGGAAGGAAAAGAAGGGAGAGACGGAGGGAGAGAGGGAGGGCGGGTGGTATGGAAGGTGGGAAGAAGGAAGGAAGGAGGGGAAACAAGCGAAGTACAGGAGGGGGGAGGAAGTGAAATAGAGAAGTCCAATATCAGGACTTTATTTTCGTCTTTCATTTCAGCTCTAATAACCTAACCGTTGAAGGAGACAGAACAGAAACATTTTGTTACAGACGAGATTTAAACTCGTTTTCCATCCTCGTTCCGAAAAGAACGGTGAATATTTACTACAAATCAGTCTACTGGAACAAGAAGCTGGGATTTAAACTCAAATATTTGATGTTAAAAGAAAATTTGGACAATGGTAGGTCATTAAAGTAACTTTTAAGTTTCAATCAAGGCGGAGACATTGGCATCCAATCACAAAGCAATTAGAATTGAGAATCCCTTTCGTAAGCCATAAATACATTGCTTGCATGGTTTGACATGCTATAAAAGGAGATATAACAGAAGTGATTGTAAATTCGGGAAGAAATTTTACAAACTTCTAAAAAATGGGCATAGACTATTTTGGGGAAACTAAAAATGCTACTATTAAACTATTTTATTGCTATCAGAGAAGACACAAGTCAAGGTTTCTTTAATATTGTGTTTGATTTGTTCAGTACATTAAATTTAAAGTAGTAGGCCAATAATCCTTCCAATAAACGCAAAGTAAACTGATTTACTTGCAGCACAAGCACACAGCCAGTGGAACATCAGCGCCCAGGTTAATGGTCCATCTTCTATTCATGTATCTTGGAAGACGTTTGACAACTCCGTCATGAGCTCTGGTCAAACCCTTTATGGGGTAGTGGTGGTTTGCAAGCCCCTTAAACTCATACAACGTACAGTACATGTTATGGTCCAACATTCAGCTACCCAAGTCGAGGTCACTGGGCTTACTGGAGGCACAGAGTACACGGTCCAAGTTGTGGCATTGGTGAATGATCCAAATATGGTATCTGTGTCCTTGTATGGAAGTGATACAGCAAGAATAACTACCAGTGATGGAGGTAAGACAGAAATGTGTTTCTTGGGTTTAAGTAGCAGCTAAAGATCCCACCGAATAGCGGGAAAGAATGTATTAGACTGAACATTAATTCTTTAAAGAAATGCGCATTTCTGGTCAGAAGACCAGATTTCTCTCATTAACTCCTCGGTCTTCTACCTAAGGAACGGATTTTGGGTTATTTACCTGATGGTGATGAAAAACCTGGGCATTAAAACCTCTAGAGAAAATTTTCAGGAATGTTGTCTTTCGAGGCGTTTTGTACGGCAGCCATGTTGTGAGGAAAACGATATGATTTTGCTTTTTTGGGAAGTTAAATTTCTTTACATACCAAAACATTACATCGTTCCTGTCCTACTACATAGCTGCCATGAACCTCTACTGAATGTAATTCCGATGTCAGCTCTTGCATCAAAACCTTTTACGGGTCCCTGCTTGTTAAAATCTCACTGTACTTTTCTTGCTTTTAGAATGCGAGACGTACAGAAATCTGACATCGGAGAGAAGGTCCCAAAGTGAACCAGGTGGTCCTTACTGTGATCAAAATCAGATATACACCCCAGCCTGGTATCGTTTCGGAGGAAAGGCTGGTACACAAATAGCGACATCATGTGTACCCCCAGACAGATGCCATACATCTTCGCCTGGTTGGATGGATGGAACACACCCTTTGGTCCAAGATGGCGTCGTCATGAGAACAGTCTGCTTCCATCGGCTCGAGGATTGCTGTAGGTGGGAAGTCACTATCAGAGTTCGCAATTGTGACGGGTTTTATGTATACCAACTTCATCGTCCGCCTATGTGCAAATTGGGCTACTGTGGAAATGATGGAGGTAACTTTTGAATTCCTAAGTCATTACACTTTAAAATATGAGAAAATAGGCTTCAAATGACAGTGAAAAAAGTACGGGATTGATTGTGCCGTGATGTGGTTGTGACGTTGTTGTATCCGAACATTCTGATTGGATACCTATTTCTTATACTGTGATTGGTTTGAATGATGGCGTCATTTCCGTCACGTAACGTTTCCTTGACGTTTGAAAATTGGTCTATAGTTTTAATTACCCATAGTGATCGAAAACTATTAACTCCCAAAAAAAAACTTTCATTTTTTTCTAAGGCTGTGGTAAATTCATCAGGGACGCGTCTGGTACGCTTACAAGTCCTGGTTATCCAAAACGTATCTACTGGAACTCCAAGTGTCTCTGGGATTTTACTGCTCCATCTTCGGCTGGTGTTATCGTTGTTGTCGTGGAAGATCTCAGAATACCTTGTGTGTAAGTACTTTTAATAATCGCTTTTTTGGCTTTTGTACCTTTGTATTTATTTTTCTTTATGCTTTGCTTTGTTTTTACCTTTTTGCTTTGTTTTTACCCTTGCGGTTGCTGTTGTCAGTGTCTGTAGAGTGCCAACCCATCTATAGATCCACTGCAGCTCATTTTCATGCGACGCAGATCAGTTTGGAGAACAATAAAATAGAAAAGCCAATTCATTTCTAGTCCTTCACCTTAAGTTGCATTATGAATATCTGAGGTCTTTAGTGGGCAAACCGTTCAACCTCCAAACTTGTTATTTCTCGTAGAAAATTTTCTCTGTCGTTTCAAAACGGCGTTGGGAAGCAAGTTGGTCAAGAGTGTGGCATACAGCGATTCTTCACCTGGGTGTCTCAAGGTTCTGCTAAACTGAAGTTCCTCTCTGACAAAGCTGAATCCAGATGGGTTGGGTTTGAAGCTCGGTATTTCATCTTCAATGGCAGTCTTACTGACAGTAAGTCGACATTCATTTATGGAAGGTGTCATTAAGTGCATTCAGAAAGTTTTTTTTCTTGAGTTAGCCTGAAATTTACTTTTGTCTTTTTATTTTTGATGATAATGACTAATAAAATCTGGGAGCAGAAACAGATCTATGATCAAGGGGGTGTCCTGTGGTACACCGAACACCCCATAACCCCATAATTACTCTTACGCTTTTTTGAAGCGATGCATAATATCTCTATATACATTTCTTCATTTGGGAAGCCTCCTAACGAATTCCTAAATCCGCCCGTGCGGAGTGGTACACGAGATGGGATTGGAAGATAATAATAATGATGGATGGTTATGATAATTAGAAGGTGATTATGATTATGATAATGAGATTGTTGATGAGGTTGATGAAGATGGCGATGATGATGATAAATTTGAGAATGGTGGTAGATGACGGTGAGATGATAGAGGATACTGTTGGTGGTGATGGCGGAGATTGTGTAATAATGGCGGTGATGATAATATTGTTTCTAATTATTGGGTAACCAATTTTTTCGTTTTCGTGTTCTAGTTCCAGATATTCCTCAATGGTCTGGCGTCTCAGCTCAAGCTTTGAATTCAACAGCCATAACTGTACAATGGGGCCCTTATTCCAATATTTCTGTTACTGAGTACCTTATTATATGTGTACCAGATGGATTACCTCTTAATGCCACAATATCCATTAAGGAATATGCCAAGGTTTCGCAGTTCTCTCTTGTGGTGTCTGGCTTAATGGAGTACACCAACTATACTGTACAGATTGTGGTACAAACAAGTGATGCAAAGTCGAGCTTCAGTGGTTACAGAGGAAGTCAAAAGACACGCGTAGAGACTAAAGAGGACGGTACGTTCGATGCAATGATCCATCTATCTAGCAATCTGCCCTGCCTACCTACCTACTTTCCTTACGCCCTGTTCTTCCTGTATAGCTGACTACTCCCTACCTACCTCCCCACCTATCTATCTATCTACTAATTAACTACCTTACTGCTCAATTAATTACCCGCCTGCCTGTCCCTCTTCCCCCCTTCCACCCTCCATCACTCTGCCCTCCTTTCCTTACCTTTCATACCTAGCTATTTATTTAGACGACTGAAGAAGAACTTTATTTGTACCCATTATAACATTATTTTCTAATTTGATACATTATTTATGTTAAACAGATTGAGGGGTACCAACTTCCAAAAATAACTAGAAAGCTAAAAATGCTTGGAAGTCGGTTTACATATTCTTAATTAAAAGTCATTGCATTTAGGGTCGGGATTTCTGCTAATTACAATCTACCTACTTACCTACCCACCTGAACCAACTTGCCTTCCTACCAACCAACTTGCCTACCAATCTATCAACCAACCTACTAACCTAGCCACCAACCTACCTATCTACCCACCCACAAACCCACCCACCCACCTACCTAGGTCCCTTTCTCCCTCCCTCCCTACCTACCTACCTATCTAGTACCTACTAGTCTTCAGACCTGCCCACACGTAGGAGCCCATCAAAACCAAACACTTGATTTTATCAAAACAATTTCAAAAACTTTTTCATTTGTAGTTCCAAGCGAAGGCCCGTCTGATGTCAAAGCTACAAGTGCTGGTACAAACAGAATAATGGTCAGCTGGAACCCCATACCAAAGCATGCGCATAACGGTATTATTACTCATTACGTCATCTATTACAAGAAAGTACTGACAGCCCAAACATGGACTGAAATGGCAGTCAACAAACCACTGATTAATGGTACACGGATGATAGCATATTTAGAGAGACTTGAGCCTGGTAAATATGTGATGCAGATGGCTGGTGCTACGTCCGTTGGTGTTGGAACAAAGAGCTTTCAAATTTACTTTATTTTAGGTAAGATTGCTTCCTGCTAACGCTGACTTCCAACAAGTTTTTTTATTATTCTGATTAGGTGGCCTTAAGTCGGAGCATGGCTAACTCACAGATCAAGGCATGAAATGACCTCTGGGCTGATCAAAGTCAGGGCACGGTTAACTCTAAGATCAAAACACGAAACAACCTCTGGGCTGATCTAAGTCAGAGTATGGCTAACTCACAGATTGAACCCTGAAACAACCTCTGGGCTGATCAAAGGCAGGGCACGGTTGACTCTAAGATCAAAACATGAAACAACCTCTGGGCTGATCAAAGTCAGGGCACGGTTAACTCTAAGATCAAAACATGAAACAACCTCTGGGCTGATCAAAGTCAGGGCACGGTTAACTCACAGATCAAACCCTGAAACGACCTCTGGGCTGATCAAAGTCAGGGCACGGCTAACTCACAGATCAAACCCTGAAACAACCTCTGGGCTGATCAAAGTCAGGGCACGGTTAACTCTAAGATCAAATTGGAAATTAGTGTGTTAAATTTTGCGACGGAAGGAGTACCGAAGAAAAACGTTGAATCAAGGGCGAGATCTATTAAACTCTACTGACATGTAATGAGAGCCGTGTGAACACATGGACGTTTACACGAGCATAAGGGGCTCGCAATACGACGAACACCATTATGTATGGTAGCTTTATAACTTTTATTATTATTTTCAACAACAGTACTCCCCACCACCATACTACCTGCCACGACACCACCCCTAACACCGGACAAAGGTAAGTTATTTTAAAGTGCATATTAAACTTATTTTTTAATGATAATAATAATAGTATGAAATATAATATAAAACGCGCGCGCATGTGTCTGTACTGTGATATAAACATGCTGGAAGCGGTAGAGCTCGAGAGAAGCAGGCTTATGAACACAAGGGGTGGGCGAGTGTTTCTCTTGATTTTATAGGATATTTCTTTTTATAAACCTATTTTCGAACGATTTTGCGCGAGCGTGTCCCTAACCTTTGATATAAGCACGCCCTCCAGCCAATCAGAGTGCGCGTTGTATTCCAAATATTTTTATAAATCAATTATATAAGTCTAAGAAAAACGCCCGAAAGAATTGTTTGATTTTGACATAGAAATATTACAATCCTTTGGCGGAAACTTGCTACTAGTTTTGATTAAAGATATGCTACTACGAAAGATTTGTTATCAGTCAGCTTTTCGACAAGATTAAGGGTGGGGCGTGGGGTATGCCTTGTCTCACCGCTGAGCCGGTGTAGGTTAGAGCAGTCGCACCCACCCATCACTCATGAGTTGCAAGGAATTGTCTTCAACTTACCAAGTTCTCCTCAACTTCGAATTCGAAGTTCCAATGTTGTCTTCAACTTACCAAGTTCTCCTCAACTTCGAATTCGAAGTTCCAATGTTCGATTTTTGGGATTATCTTACGCTATGATACAACAACAACAACAAGAACAACAAAGAAAAATAAGATTTTAAATTTTTCATGGCCTTTTTTCAAATCTCAAATCTTTTCCTTTGTTTTTCAGCCTTGAGGATGTATCCATACGGAGAAAGTGCTGGAGACAGTATGATACCAAACACGAAATATTATGTTGCCACATGTTTTCGCATTGATATTCCTGGAGATGGGCTGCCGTTCTTTACGAAGAGACATCATATGATTCATGTGAGTAAACATTTTAAGTGTCAGTCAGGGTTAATTCGGAGACTCCTAATTTTTTTCTCCCTGAAATTTTTGAATACTCTTGTAATTCTACCGCAGCTCCTGCAAATTCCCTGAAATGGCTTACATTTCCTTATTTTTTTTATTCATTTGGGCAGAGGTTTTTCTCTATGTAGTTCTAAGATTCTGCATTTTACGTTTTCTGTTGCTGTTATTCATAGAAGCCACTTTTATTACAGTTGAGCCCGCAATGAGATATTCATTTTTTAAAGAACTCATACAAGTGAGGCTATCGTTTCGATACAATACTTGTTGTCTCATTTGCGTCTCGTTTACATGCATCCATAATATCTGCTATTGAATATAAAACGACTTTTCTCTCTGGTTTCTTTTGTCCTTTTAACCAAAATGGCAGCCACGGCTTTTGTTATTTCACGGGGAATTGATGGGAATTGACTGGGAAATGATTGCAAACCACTGTTTTATGATCTCAGATTTGTCGTAATGGTCTTCTGCTGTTTGAGACTTGGAGGTCAATCCGTTGGCCATACAGGCTGGTGGAAGAACGTACGTGGTTGAGGGACGCATCTCTATTGGCTCCATACTGGGCGTTAATTGATGTTGATGGTTCATTTGTAAACCGGGGCATTTCCAAAGTGTACTACCAAGCATACAACGACACAGATAACAGCTATAAATCCAGGAAAATGATCATACAGGCCACCCATGACGTAGAAAACCTGCATCTCAATAAACTCAAGTTATATGAAGGTGACTATACCAAACCTCGAAACTTTAAAGCAAAATGGGTTTTAGTCATCACTTGGGTGAACTTGAGGCCATATGGTGTTGAAAGACTGCGCAACTTCAATCTCGTAAGTTAAGTTTCTTGATGATTGTCATTACAGCACAGGAAGCCCAAGCAAAGTAATTGTACCATATTACATAGGAATGTATGTGGAATTGTATATCGTAAAAATATCTATATTGATTTGTGTAGTTAGTTTGTGTAGTGTTTTTGTTGCCTTTTTTTTTTTTTTTTTTTTTTTTTTTTTTTTTTTTTTTTTTTTTTTTTGTTTTTGTCTCTACTAGATTTGGAGCCAATTCGACAAGTTTCAGCCTTTTTACGGACTTACTATTCCTTTGTAATAAGGAACAAGTACATTGCTTGGGCTTCCAGGCGATAACAGCATGCAGTAGACAAATTATTCGACATTTGTGCTTAAACTGATATGCTGAATATTGCTCCCCCAGACCAACACCTTCCAAGCCGTACTCATTACAAACGGTATTCACTCCTTCGCCATGTACAACTATCCTACAAATGGAATACAATGGGCTGTACCTGCTCCACTGTAAGTAATGAGAATTCCTGACAAATAACGATTTAAATTATTTTAACATAAGGACTGTCACTTTTTGTTTATTCTCAGGGGTAAACACCATCTTTATGAAGGCAGTCCTGCGCTGCCTGTGGCTGGCTGGAATGTTGGCAGGAAGAGTTTGGAACACTATGATATCGAAGGGTAAATAGTAAATAAATAATTTATTTGCCGATTTTTTAAGTGAAGACGGAAATCCACTTCGAAGTGCATAGGACTGTGTGAGTTCAAAGAGCTCCGCCATGTCGGCTTCCTTATTCAGTCCCACAATCCTTTGCACCATGAGATCGCTACCAGTCTTTTGTTGAACTTCTGGAAGGCAGATTTTAGTGTTTTTAGTATTTTGTGGTACGTGGAAATACCTTTTCATCCATTTTATTCTATTAAGCACGGGTGGTGTAGCGGCGCCTGAGAGGTTTTCTGCGGTTTCTCCTGTTTTCCTTCCTCGATAATTAACTTCTGAATTCCAATTCGAGCTTCAGTGGACGAAGAGATACTCTTTAGAAATGCAAATACTAAATCCTATTTAAGTTATTTTTTCGTTCTTTTCTAAAATTCTGTTTTTGATATTTGCCCATTTGCAGATCTGGCCAAACAGCAATGGTGGGGATTGATACACGTTACGGAAAAACAGTCAAAATTGATCTGAGAAAAAAGAAGAAAGTCCCTGATCAAATTTCGAAGGGAAAATGGTTTTTTCGTCTGGAGGCCGCATTATCTCGTGGTGGAGTAACCCCAAAAGATCGATGTATAGATTGGTACAAAGCGCACCCAGACCACGCAGATTACACCGAAAAGCTTGTGCCGTGCCCCTGTACAAAAAATCAGGCTGAAAAGGACAGCAGATTTAAAATGGATTCAAAAGGATGGCCTTTTATTTGTGCAAAATCTGTCTTTCCTTCCAATGAGGGATGGGAACAGAAGTGCTGTTACTCTCAATTTACAAGAGCACTGGTCAAAGGGTATCCAGGAGGAGGATATCCAATCTCTTCTATTAGTTACACATCTGGTTTGAAACATGATGAATTTGCCTATGTAAAATGCTGTGTCGAATCAAGCACGTGTAATTTGTTTTACAAAAAACGACCATCTGATGATTGCTGGAGATACCTCCATCCTCAATTATGTAAGTAGTAACAGTAAATTAACTTTTTTACAGCTTTACAGGAAACCCTTATATGGTGCTTAAAGACCGAGTAGAAAGTAACAATAATTTCTTCTTTCTGATATGGGTTACCTGTGCCTTCATAGGATGACACTTTTAGCCGCATTATACAAGTGCCGCGTAATACGAGATACGTAAAAATTTATTTGTACAAGAGTTTGGAAACAATTGGGTAACGGTAGAGTGCATACCATAAAATAGTCCAGCCGCTAGACCCTCCCCTTTACCACTCCGCTTTTGTTTTGGGGCTTCCTGTGTCGCAGAAGGAAGCCCAAAAAACAAAAGCGAAGCTAAAGAAGATTGTCCAGCTTCTGGACTAATCGTACATCCGTGAAAGACTTTGTAAGAAATTTCACTATTTTGAACAAATTAGTAAGCTCAGTAGACCTCAGTAGACTGTAGACCTACAAAACTTTATTCCAATTTGTACAATTTTTTTAGTTTTTCACGGATTTATATTATGCCCTCTACTAGTGGTATATAGGAGATTTTGTATTAAAAGTACAATTTTATCAAATAAAGCCAACAAGCAAAGAACTAACAATTAAATATCATGCCCATGCACAACTTCTTTCCAAACTTTCCAACTTTTTTCTTCTTTGCTTTTTTGTAACCAGGTTGGTTTTTGGGTGATCCTCATTTCGTGACGTTAGATGGCCTGAACTACACCTTCAATGGTCTTGGCGAGTACATCATGGCAAACATAAGCAACGGGTTGTTCCAGCTTCAAGCTCGAACCAAGTTGGTCGAGGGTGGAGGGAAAGCTACTGTGTTTGTTTCAGCCGTTGCAAGGCAGACAGGATCAAGTGCAGTACAAGTGAACCTTAAATCTGCTGGAGGCACGTTACAGGGAGACATTTCTATTACTATTATATTCTTATTTTTAGTAGGATGTCACCTGAAGAGTTAATTGACAATTTCCTGTTGCAGGATTCTTGACTTTTCTTTTTTTTTTTTTACTTCTTAATACCACTACGACTAGAATCCTTTTCGAATAGACCTCTTTATCTTGGGCGTAATGTTTTCCCATTTCAGACCACGTGTCAT